GGCCTGAATGTGTTTCAAGCATCAGATATGCAACCTACCCCACCAAGCACCTCGTCAACTCTAGCGGTTCCGACGTCGTGTTAGGAACCCCTCGAGAAGACGCCAATATCGCAAGGCAGAGACTCACCAGTGGTTCCACCGTTTGAGCGGATAGGTCCGCGGCCACACTAGAGCGCTGTCAGTAGAAAAATGAAGAATACGACGTCTCCGTATAATGACATATCAGGAGACGGACGTCACGCTCTGTCATTCTACAGTTCGCAGTGGGGTATAAACGGTAGCAGGTCATTTGTGATGGCAGGACACTCTACGTTGCTTTCATTCATGGGATATTTATATAGTGAATATACAGAAATGTTACCAGAAGCTTTTCTAGCTGAGAGTTCCGTTTTCCCATTCGCGCAGCAACACTGCACTACCTTTATTTCGAATTCGCATCGACCCAATTGATGTTCCACAACCTTAATGCTCGCCGAACAGTTGATTAAGAGATAACCGCCGTCTCATGCTAGCAAGATGTTCCTTGATACGAGTAGCCAAGACCCTTCCTGTCTCCCCAATATATGTGGAGTTACATGCCCGACACTGAATTTCATATATTACTCCCACTTGCGCACAGTCACCAGTTTTCCCGTGTGGGCAAGTAACACAATTTTCTGATATGCACTGCTTGTCGTAGAGCCTGTTACGGACGAGCTGCTGTTTGATGTTTTCATTTGGTATATTTACCAACTGGACATCGTCCTGCAGCTGTGCTCTTGCTATGCTCCGTTTTATTGCAGCGCTTACTTTATCAGAAATGAAGGGGAGACATAAAGGTATCTTGTTTGAACGCGTGAACACACGATGCGCTTAGTTGAGACAGCAACTATGCCCAGCATATCCGAGGGCGTGGTGCCGTATAGCCATTCATAATGGCTATTTTTGTGGCAAGCTCTCGTGATTCTTGTCGTTCTACATCTCCTGTGCACATTCCCGTTGCTGTTTGGAACATGTTTCGGACGACAGCGCGTTTCACAGCAGTTGGGTGTGCTGATGTAGCGTGAATCAAGATGTTTTTCGAGCTGCTCTTACGGTACCACTTAACTCGAGTGATACCATTGGATATCTTAACTTGCGTGTTGAGAAACGGCAGCCAACCGTTTTGCGGGGTTTCTCGTGTCAGTTTAATGTACTGTGACTGTTCATTCATCAATCGGAAACACTCATCCATTTCGGATTGTGTTGATGTTACGATGAAACAGTCGTCTATGTATCTACAGTACATTAAAGGCAAGCGCTCCAGCACCGGTTCTTCTATCCTACCCATAAAGCAGACTGCGAGAACTGGTGCAAGACGCTGACCCATGGCTAGCCCTCTAATTTGAGAGTAGTATGTACCTGCCCATTTAAAGATGTTACAGTTCAAACATTCCTTGATTAGAGTCATTATGTGCGCTTTACCAAGTCCAATCAACGCGCTATCGCGTATATTAGCAATATGCCTGTCAAGCATTTCGGATAATGCTTGGAGGGCTTGCTCGTTTTGGACATTGGTATAAAGCGATGTAACATCAAATGACTCTACCACAGCATTGTTTGGGATATCGCAATGCCGTAGCTGTTCAAGGAAATGATTTGTGTTGCGACACAGAAGCAATGAGAGAGGGACCATGGGTAGAAGCTGACTGACGATGGTGTTAAGAAACCATGATATTCGGTCGGTAGGCCCACCCACGCAGCTTATGATAGGACGGATCTTATATGTATCCGCTGGCATTGGCAGCATATTTCCATGAGAGGGAAGTTTATGGGTCTTCAGAAGGCTATAGAAAACTGGGCAGTTCGGGTTGTCCAGTTTGAGTCTACTAATGAACTTATCATCGAGTCCTGCAGATTTTCCTATGCACAACGCCAGATAACGGTTGAGTCGTTTGCATATAGTGATGAAAGTCCTTCTCGCATAACGCGACGAAAAAACCGTGGAGTCCCGCAAATGAACCTCCGGTTATGGCACGGTCTAGCGATTGTGACATAACTACGAATTCGCCACCCTTATCACTCACGGATATGCGTATGGAACCGTTTGATCTTAGCTCACGCAATTCTCTGAGCCCCAGCCACTGCTCGGGTGTTAAGTTTGTATTTCGTTTGCCGTTTTGAAGTTATTCAAAACGGCTAGAATGTCAGCTGATAACATTCTGAACTTAACATCGACTTGATGTGATGGTTGAGGCTCCCTGTAGAAAGTGCGTGGAAACGGTACACTCAGAGGCAATCCTTGATAAGGGCGCGTCATTTGCGGCTCTTCACGACGCTGGCTATTGATGCGTAGTAGATCTCTAAGCCTTTGAAGACCCCCAACTACTTTTCGAAACACTTGTGCTGTGATGTTTTGGGCCGGCGAGAAGGACGGACCAAGGTTTAGTAAACTTAAAGCGTTAGGTGAGAGATGAGTGTCGTCGATCACAGTGACCCGTTCCGAGTGTTCGCCACTTTGGACTGCTTCGTTCGTGTGGTGGTGGTCGGTGGTGCTACTGTTCCTCACGAGTATCGTCGACTCCCCTCCGTGTTTCCAACAGTCTGTCGTATTTCGCACAAAGAATCGATTTGGCCCTAGATCGGATAGAGTCGCAAATCAACCTTGACTCACCCTCAATCCTCCTCCAAGTCTGATCAGGCAGAAGACGTTGGCATGCGCGCTCTTTCGCTTCACACTTCAACAACGAGGAATACAGTACATGCCGCTTTTCCCTAATAACAACATCCAGAATAGTACGGTAGATAGATGTTATCACTGGATGATCTTCGGGGAGACGGCATGTTATTCCGATCTTTCTTTATTTGTGATGATCGAGCAGACGGCGCCGGTCGTCCTGCAGCGTTGGAGGAACTTCAGTGATTGACGGGTGGCGACTGCCTTCTGGCGAAGCGAGATGGCTCCGCGGACGAGAGAGAAGAGGTTCGGCGGCACAGTTCGAAGTATTCTCCAGCTTCTCTCTTCTTGCAACCTCGGCATGTTAGTAGTGAGTGTTTTAATATTCTTGTGCCTTACGAGGTTGTTAGGTGGAACATTTATTACAAATGGCCTAACGTTTCGACTGAATCGTCGTCTTCAGAGGCCTGAATGTGTTTCAAGCATCAGATATGCAACCTACCCCACCAAGCACCTCGTCAACTCTAGCGGTTTCCGACGTCGTGTTAGGAACCCTCGAGAAGACGCCAATATCGCAAGGCAGAGACTCACCAGTGGTTCCACCGTTTGAGCGGATAGGTCCGCTGCCACACTAGAGCGCTGTCAGTAGAAAAATGAAGAATACGACGTTGTCTCCGTATAATGACATATCAAGGAGACGCACGTCACGCTCTGTCATTCTACAGTCCGCAGTGGGGTATAAACGGTAGCAGGTCATTTGTGATGGCAGGACACTCATCTCGGTTGTTCATTCTGGGTTTCCTAGTGAATATCCAGAATGCTTCCAACGCTTTTCTAGCTGAGAGTTCCGTTTCATTCGCCAGCACACTGCACTTTATTTCGAATTCGATTCCATTATGTTCCACAACCTTATGCTCCCGAGAGCAGTTGTAGAGTAACCGCGTTCATGCTATGATTTAGTGTTGTCGGTGAGCCTAAAAGGAAAAAAGGGAAGGAGAGAGTGCCCGCGCCCCAGATTCGTCCCTCTCATATGCTCCATCATTCGCGGCGAACCTGACTGCATATTCGCGTTATACCCAGAACATATAGGAAGTCTCAAAAGTTCCCATATGGTTTCATAACCATGCGAACTTTCAGTTTTTCAAAATAAATTTTGTAGAATTCACACCGTTGCTGAAGAAAAATCGAAAATAAAAACCGTAAAAGTACCTTTCGCATCCTATTTTGGTTGGCTTTTGCTCCACCACGCAGCCTTAAAACATTGAAGTGTATATGGGGAGAGAGCAGACGAAGCATATTTGAAGAAAAAGCAGATAAAAAGTAACTAACGTCGTGGCCATTTCAATATCGCCTATATCCTTTTCGTCGTCAGAGTCTGTATCGGAGAGATCTCCATTCATTTTCCGTTCATAGTACACCATTAGTTTCTTAAACAAAGTTATGGTCCAAAAGGATAAACACGGATGGAAATAAATAAACATAAAAACATGAGCCTATGTATATGGGCGGAAGAAGCAAGAAATTTTATAACTGATGCACCTTCGGAGACATTTTGCGACAGATGGGATGCTTTACCGATGCATTTCATACTGTTTAGTGGAGACTTTCAGGCTAAGAAGAATATTGAGCTTTCAAGCTGATTGAGTTTCTAATTTTAGGCCATCAAAATAGTGTCAGGTTGTAAAAAGTGGATATCTTCGACACTTTTTTACGTTCGATAGAAGCGTCCAGACGGCAGAATCTCATCTTTGGTCTGCATGGCAAACAGGGCGCTTTCTGCCGCTGGAGAAAAAAAATGAGAAATGCGACCGATCCCATCCTCCTCCACTAAATTCCTCTCAGCTGGGACGACCACGCCTTCCCCATCCTACCTACCATGTTCCTAAGTTTTTCCATCGTGATACTTATGGACCAACCGAAAGCATGCCAAGACAGAATAAAAGTGAATGACCCGATTGAGCATGAGCAAAAACTACTGTACTGATTATTAGGAATCTTTCGCAGTATGCGCTACACTGCACCCTCAACTGTACAGAAATACGTATTGAATTGCTAAACTAATGTCGACTAAATCACCTCAACTTCTGGGTTGCAACCTTTGAAAGACATTCTGCCGAACTTCAGACCTTCTAGAACGGTCAGGTCTCTCGAAAATTCGAAGTCCAACCTAAGCGCAGGTAAGTACTAAGAACATAGCGAGTTTCAAGAAAAATTCTGTGAAGAAAATTGGAAAGCTTCACGCTATCTGCTCTAGCTTTTCTAGTAGGAGTTTCTAAAAGCTATCCAAGTAGGGCGGAGGTGGTGAAGCTGCAACTGGCATTGTTTACCACGTACGGTGTTCAGAGATCCAATCCCGAATCAGCTCTCGTCCAAATCAGTCTATCCCAGGTTAGCTGGTAGCAGAGTTGTCTGAGAGGATAACACTAGCTCTTACATCGACTGACACCAACGGGCCATTATGTAAGACCAATTCGCACGTCAGAAAGCCAACTAGCAATTTTGGTTGGAAAAGAATGTGCGCCCAATGCGCTGGTCGAAGTTTATCAGCGCCATCGGCTTATAAGGGGCATTTTTTACTCCCTAGTTCCTGTTGAAGTGAACGCCCCACTTTCTGGGACCTGCACGCTCTCGTCAAGTGTAAATGAAGACTCATGCTACTGAATAACTTTACATGTCAACAAAATGCTTCGGCAGTGTCGATGGTAACCAGCAAAATGCCCCACCAAAAGAACAGCCCGGCCGCTTGTCCTTTGAGCCCTTTTGAAATGGATCCCTCGGAAAATCTTAAGCATAGTGCTATGCTAATGCAAGAAACATAAAAAGGTCATGTACGGCATTTAGACTGTGTAACCTGTTATTTTCCGAAAGTGATGAGTCGGCTTCGTTCCCAAAGCATTCCTTCTTCATTTCGGCCTCTTGTTTCTTCCTTTCCCTCGCTTCTAGTTTCCTCTTAGTTCGTTGCATGAACTGAAACGTAATATAGGAGGGAAATTAAGATAAATCTCCAAATATCAGAAGTAATAATGAGGGACAATATGCCTTGCTGGAAGGCGCGGAGAAGCGAGTTGCGGACCGTAAGATAGAAAGATTAGCCTCAGTAAGGAAATTGCTGCTACTCTTGCTAAACTAGTCCTTAAGAGCGAAACGGATCATTCTGTGCTCTTGGAAGATGTATGTCCTTCCCAGTGGTTTCCTTTCCGTTTGCTTCTTACATGGCTAAACCTTGCTCAAGCAGAAGCTTATTCGCGATCGCATATGTCTGGAAAAAAATTTCGTTTGGCACTAGTTTAAGACGTCTCCCTCAAAATGGACCGACGCATAACACTAGTGCTATTTATTTCTGGCTTCAATTTTTCGAACTAAGCGGCAATGAGTTGAACTGACATATAGTTGCGTGAGAATGGGAAGAAGGACTTGGATTTTGCTTCATTCTGACAGTTCTCTGTAGAAGAGCATCACCAGAATTTTTCAAACCCCATAACCTAATAGTGTGAGAAAAGTTCATTTAAACCTATAAATTGTAGTTTTCAACGGGATGATATCCGGGAAATGCAAACATATGATGAAACCGACATGTGAGGACGTTGCCCAAAGGACTAATTCAATAACAGTTCTTAAAAAGGAAACAATGCTGTATGGCACATACCTTCATTTCCAAGACGGTTGACGACAACTTTTTCGCTCCAGTAGTCATTTCGATAGCCGGATAAGAACAAAAAATATAGTACAGTCGTAAAAAATAGAATAAATTAAGGAGCCCTCGGCGCAAAACTATATCTTGCCGTCATCTTGCGCCCGATGCTTGAGTGGTGAGGTGCACAATACAACGTAAATTACGTCACAACCGGCTATCGACTGCACATTCGCCTAGATTCCTGACTGGGAGGGATATTCAGCGATTGCATGAAGTATAGAAAGCCTTATACATGTCACCCAAACCACAGTCCGGCGCTCAATAGTTGGGGACCACTCGGTCGCGACTCTGTAACCCTTCCCCAAAAACTTTTACGCTCACAGCGCAGCCGACCACAGTTCCCTTGTCACTTATGATAGTTCTGCAGAGAAGAAATAGTCTCCACTAGGCCCGAGCTTTTAGAGAAATGGATACGGAGGCTGGCCGAGTGGTTTACCCCTCCCCCAACTCTCGCCCCAGCTACATTATCACCTACAGTCCGAGAGGTTGTCCCACTTACGCCCCTCATCTGTGAGTGAGACGAGGGCGGTGCAGTCATCATTAGCCAAAGGAACAACATCTGTGAAAGCTGTCTCACCGATCTCAGGATGAGATATGCCAGAAGTCTCAGGCTTACCTACAGAAGCATGAGGCGTTACGTCTGTTCTGACTGCAATCCGGAGCTGTGTTTAGGGCGTCTCCGACCGTTTTGTCTGCTCTTCTTTTCGCTGGTAAATCGTTCCAAAAAGTCACATATGGACCCAAACTCAATCGCGAATGGGCTTATAATGACATCGCTCGCGACTGCATTTCATAAGTAGTAGTCTGCAAAAATGAATGTGTACGTAGTAGATTGACTTACATAATTGTTAAGACAAAAGCAAATGAAGCGACTGAAAACGCCCTCAACAAAGCCCTTCGGATATACGAGATTCGGAGCTTCTCTTAGTCCTCATTCAATAACATCGTTCCGACTTCGCAGTGGAAGCTCTTCGGTCGCGCGTTGATGCGAGCGTTGCGGCAATCGAACGCTGCCTAAGAGTGTCGGGTCCACGTCCTGGATGGGCGTGGCCCAAGTTTACGGTATCGCACGACGCTGGCGCGGGGCAACTGGAGTGACCGTACGACAGAACAGTGGTACTCGCATGTGGTGGTACATTCCGACCGTCCTCCCCCTTGCTGCTGCGTCCAGGTCCCTTTTCCTTTTGATATTGGTATTAGGTTGTCCGGAAAGTTTTGAGAAAATTTGACACTTTTATTTGAAGAAGTGTAGTAAGAATGCCCCAACGGAAATCATATATCAAGCGCTATGAGAAAGAGAAATGTTTGTAGATCAATACTGATGCTGGCTGGTATTATTCCCCATTGTTGGTATGATTTGACATTACCTGAAAAATGTGTGGTGCGCACGACTCCCAACACCTTTTACTTCACCTTCACCCTTCTGGCTCGTCTATTGGTCAAATCGGGAATGATGAACCGCTTCCGATGCTGGATAAAATGCGCTTCAAAATTGTCTATACTATGAGAACAAATCGTGCTCTTCATGGAATTTTTTAGGCATTACAATTAGATGTTGCGTACGTCCTTCTTCATTCTCACTACTCGCTTAAAGCACATTCCGCGATAAAATAAGGCTATGACCTCTCAAATGTGTCGGACGATCCGGAAGGCGATTTTTGAGGCTGCGCTACTTTCAAAATGTGAAAAACGGCAAGAACTCCGCTAGAAGCTGACTAATTAGGCCCATGGACACCCCTTAGGCCCATGCCGACCCTCACCGGCTCTAGCTACTAGCCAGTAGCCACTATGTTATCTTTCTCTATAACATTTCGGACTGCTTTTTCTGCTGCTTTTCTCCGCTAATCAGATACTTAGCACTTTTTTGTGCCTATTTGAGTTCCGTTTCCCGCAATTTGCGGTCGCGAACTGTGCCTTTAATGTCCAGCTCTCACGCAAGTTCGAGCGACAATATTGATGGACAACACTTATTATATACACTAATGAACTATACTATCCCTTATTGTTGTTGATAAGTGTGAAATGAGCTGGTTGAAATTTCTCAAAATTTTCCTTATATTCCAATATAATAAGTACAGTCCTCATCATTACAGAACGGTGGGGCGGGTGAGCGCGCTGCATGTGACCTGCGGCTGTGACGCCGGGTAGCGATCAACAGCCGAGTACCTTGCGCAGCGGGCGGTTCAACGCCCCACTCGTCTTGATGAGCACATAGCTATAGCTGCAACTCTTTTTGTATTCATACAAATAACACCTTCAATGGGCAGACGTCATGACCTGTAATCTGATAAGTGCGTTCGTGTTACCTTATGTCAGGTTTTCGCGTTACGCAGCGTTTTGAGCTACAGAGGAAGCCCCGAGGTATCGATAGCGGCTTTAAACGCAGGCTGGCCTACCTACACTCGAGTGTATAATAGCACAAAAGTTACTTCGAGTGAGTGCTGAGATGTAACTTGACTTACTAGCGGATTTGGCTTATTAAACTTGAATTCGCAGACGCTGAATGGAGGGCATGTGTCTCGTCTGGTTGCTCATGGTTGTGCGTGGATAGGGGACGGCCGACCTCCTGTCCGAATTTTGGTGATCAGGTTCGTAAAGGTTCGTCTTACAATAGTTGAACAAGTTGAATAATCAATTGTTAATAGGTTACTCCGAGTACTGGTACAGAAATTACCCGAGTATGCTTTGCAACAGTATCGTGACCTGTTAATCAATTCGATATTTGAAGGACAGCTGACATGTGATCTCACTTCCAAGGCAAGCTTTCAGTAAGTGATGCAAGAAGGTTGCTTTTGTCTGAACCCGGTCTCTTTCAGGTCCGAAAAGCAAATCGACTGCTGTTGGAAGTGCTTGTTGCTAAATTTGGAGTAGACGTGTTACTCAAGTATACCAGCAAGCCTGAATGGGTTAAGCAGTTGAAAAATATCGAAGAAAATAAATAGAAGAAAAGAACGGCAAATCAGTGGTGGAGGTGGCGCGAAGGATAGCGATGAAGGTCAGGATAGTGTTTATATCAGTTTTTTTTCCAGGATAGGTAGGATTGATGAAAAATAGTTCTCACATCAAGTCGGTGAAGATTGGCACAGTGAGCAATGGCAAATGGTGCCTCTCGAGGTCGGACAGTCACCGTGGAAATACTCTCATCTGTAAACAACCCCTCTCCCCCTCCCTCTCCACTCCACCCCTCCCCTCAAACGCTGATACGATCCCTGAGGGCCTAAGGGAGCCTTCCTTTGTTGAATAGAATTGCGCTATCTAGTCGATCGGGATGCCTCGTCTTAAAAAGTGAGACTTCCTCATTCTTAGAACAGCCCTAAAGACATAGTCCGCGGTTATCTGGTGTGAAGAATCCAGATTACACGGCTTATGTCAACCGGACATGCTCCGGCAAGGTACTTTCTCATCGCAACTACCGGCTTAGAAGTTGATGGGAGAAGGAAAAGGTAGAGGGAAAAGCGAAGGAAAGAAGGGAAAGAGTTAGGGGAGGAAAAAGGAGGAGGGAGGGTTCGCGCTTGACAAGTATCTTGAAATGGTAGAATCAATTCTTTGGTTAGGGTGGCACGGTCTTCAACCTTTGAGAGTGTGTCAAGGTGAACTTCTTCTCAAGGGAATGCTTTCATCAGTGCAACCTTTTCCGCTAACTGATACAATCCCCAAGGTTTTCCACACGCCCCATTTCTACATTGCGCTATCTGCTCGATCAGTCCCTTTTCCAGAAAGAGAGAATATAAGCCATTCATTCTCGAAAGAGCCTTGAAGACACAGTCCGCGATTACTGTGAAGAATCCCTTCCTTCTATAGCGTGATGCGGTCCGCAGCCTGTGAGAAGGCACTGCTTTCGATACTCGAAATTGGTTGGTGAGAACGCTAAGGTTTGACACGATGGTCGGCCTTCTCATATTTTTACTTCGCAGTGACTGTGAGAAGATATAATATTATCTCGCTCGTCAATGAAGTTTCTATTTCGTACCCTGGTTCTCTCTGGTACACTCAGTGTCTCTTCACTGCACGTAGCGCTGAAGACAAGGGGAGTCTTGATCAGAGTGTTTCCGACGGTTTCTTCAGCATTTTACTTCAGTGATAGCTGACAAATCTGGACATTCCTTTTTTCTTGAGCCCGGTCGCGGTCGCTAATTGTGTCTGTAGGATTGCTCACCGTTCATATCTTCGTACGCGACTCGCGGAAGCACCACAGAAATCCTTAACGAGCGTTACCGCTGCGCCTTTTGTCCATTGGAGATTCAAAAACTGTGTACGAATGGGTCGCATGGTGGCAGTTGATGGAAAATTTTCCGTTTTCCGAAAATTTCTGATGCATCACTTTTTCCCGTCTCAGCTCCTAATTATTTGACACTTTCGATATTCCAGAGAGCAGCGAGGCGGGCTCACGTATGACTTCTCGAACTGCCGGAGCCGACACAATACTAAAACTTCTCGAGGATAGTGATGCATCTGAAAGTGACGCTGAAGGAGATATGGCCGATATGAAGAGTCGCACTGGCAGTGTTTGGCTGAAGGATGACACAGACATGGGTGAACTAACGGATCTTCTTGACAGAAAGAGTATGATTCTCAAGGTAGGTGCTTTCAAGCTTTCCATAAAAAAACGAGTGAGCTGTAAATATGCATTTGTTAGGTTACCACCACGGATCCTGCTCAATTAGCGAAACGGAAAGCTAAACTGACGGAAAAGAAGAAACAGGAATCTGGATTCAGAATATCTAAAGATGGAAAATTAGTGATTGTCGATAGTGGTACGTTCTCTGCTATTGAAGGGATAAGGCGCGATATTTGGTTCTTGCTCAGAAATACTGCCAGGGGTGCTTAATAGTGGGGACGAAAAAGCGAAATAGACGGCCAAATACCTGCAAAAAACTTTTGTTCTGCACGACACTGGGCGAGCATTTTTGGACGAGTTCGCGTTGACATCGTGAAAACATGCCTTCATGTCTTCTGTTCTTCATAGATGAAGCAAAAGCACCAACCTTGTGTGACTATGCGGCCATCTTTGAGCGAGCAGTTTTGAGGGACGTTTGGGTTGGCATGTTGCGAGCCTGCGTTACGGTACGCAGTGGTGCTCTTGGTTGCGAAAAGGTCACCACGCAGCTGTCTGCTGAGGGGGTTGCTATGAAGACAGCCATTATTAAGCCCGCTGTTATGCCACACTTAGCGAACGGTTGTGACTTGACAAAACTCTTGCGCCCGACAGACTTTTACCACTCTTCGTTTTACACGAAAAGTTCGTGTAGATGTTAGTTTGCTTCTTCGGAGTGAATGGCTGTGATAAGAAAAACAGTCCGTTATTTGAGATTCTACGAGACAAGACGTCTTTTTTCTTATCTACTTCAATTCTTCAGTACTTTCTTTCAGATGATGAGAATGAAACAAAGCGAAAGCGTAGGAAGCGAGGTGGTGACCTGGACGATTTGAATGATGACTTCCCTCTTGAAACCAAGAGGAAGAAAGACGATAGTGATATGGAAACTGATTCTGAAGATGACACCAGGGATGAGAAAAAAGCGGTGAGTTGCCTTTTGTAGCGTCACAAAGGCTCAAAAGTAGTTGTGATAATCGATGATGGCGTGAGAATCCGAGGGAAACGTTGCTTGAATATGCTGTCTGGTATCGATCGGTGCTGGCAGCTAGTGCTTTGGGAGAGTATACAAAAACGGAAGGATACCAGACTGTGTAATTAGGCAATATGTACCTTCCTATTCTCCCGTCAGCGGCACAGCATTCGCATGGGGATTTGGTGAAGCCGTACGACCCCCCCCCCCCCCTTCTAGGAGGTTTCGGTCCCCTATACCTAAACTTATGAAGTTTCTTCCCCCTCCCCCCCCCGAGGAGGAAGAAACTTCATAAGTTTATGTATAAGTAAGCGCGAAAAATGGAAAAAGTAACAATCCTGAATGAGGCCCCTCGCTTTCTGGCTCTGATTTTATCTCTAATTGCAGAAAGAGAATAGAAAAGAAAGGCCATTAGGTTTCACCCACCTTCCTCGAGTCAAAACAAACTCTGGTACCTAAATCAATTGCAATTAAAAGAAAAAAAACAGGAAATTAAGCCAACTTCCTAAAAGCACTCTGAGCGGTCCAAGCAAAATTGCTGGGCGCGCTCTGACGCGTATTCGAGTAAACTGATAAGAAGATAAATATTCGATATTCGAATAAACGAGAAAGCAAGATAATACGCAATAAGTAAAACAAACGAAGCAAACCAGCCGCAACAGCAGATTAAAGGCTGAGGTACCGGCGAGGTTTCTGGCCAGACCAGCCATGTCGAACTGCGAGTTATTCGAGCAAAATAAGGTGTTGTTTGAAGCCCCACATAACTTCCTTCAAAAGCGGACCTATGAGGGAAGACCAGGAGAGCGTATTCGTGTAAGGAAGTGTTTGCACTTCCAAAAACTGGCCTGCACTTTTAGAGAAGGCGCAAGATCACAGAGAAGTATCTGCCATAGGGTGTCGATGGGCGATTTTTTTTTCAAAACATCGTTCCGCTTTTGAATCAATATTATATTTTTTTGTAACTCAACATTTCACAAATCTGAGAACGGATTCGAGTGTATGAAGACTTGCTCTTTCTAAAAACCTATTGAACTGTTTGAAGTCCTCGGGATTCATGAGATCTGGCGATGGGGATTTCTCGCGCAGTACTCCGAGCTGCGCGAAAAACCCGTTTCCTGTGTACCGTTTCAAGTGAGCGTGTTCGAATAGCCAGGAACGCATGTAGAACGTATCCTGTGGTGGAGCAGGAGCAGGATATGGTTCGTTTAGCGCCGATCACGCCAACTTTGGATGCGCCGCGCACTGAGGCCGCGCAGAGGTGAAGGGATGGTGCAACTTGTGCGTAATGTCTGTCCACGCGAGCAAATGTGTCTATAGGATTCAGGGAGATCCATGGCGAACCTGTGCACTTGTTTACAGTGTTTTCCGTTGCGTATGATGGAACATGTCCCTGTCAACCCTGCCAGATTCGTGCTCCGCCAATTCCGCTGAGCTCCGATACAATGGAGACAAGTGCCTCGCGACAAAACGTCTGATATGAACGATATGGTAGTCCTGTCGCTTGTCGAGAAAAAACAGGTTGGCTCAGCGCCAAGCGCGACCGCGGACACGCCATATCATTGGCAGCGAACAGAAAGTTTGAGTTGACTGTTTAGTCACCAACGGACTACGAGATAATGTCGACTTATTAATATTTGCAGTTATTTCGGATTAGTTTGATGAATGAAAGTTTTGTACTATTTTTTTGCATATCCGAGTTCTCTACAAAGCAAGTTTCGCTGTACAGGACTCAGCACATTGACAATTTGCGCTGCTCGTTACTGGCTGCCGCACTCACTACCCCCCCTCTTCCTGGGCGCCAAAATACGACGCCCCTGTGGGATTCCCAACAACGATGATTGCCCTGTCTCCCGTCACTCTGCAGCGCAGTAGTGGTCGGCACCGATCGATCCCCGTCTATAGCTGCATTTCCGTCTAAAGCATACTAGACTGTTGCAATGGTGGCGCATCGACGCGCGTGAATCGCGAAGTCTAAACGCTCTTTTAGATAACATGCTAGTAAGGTATTTTATCCCATTTGTGTTGCAGAGCACCAAACACTCAACCGTAAGCGGTGCATCAAGCTGGCGTCCAGGAGGCCAAGGAATACATCGGGACACTTCGTTGAAAAGCAGTAAGGGTCGACCGACCAAAGGTGGCAGTGATAAGAAGAATCAGAAACTACAACCCTATGCCTATGTCCCACTGCGGCAAAAAGGAGTAAAGCAGGTACGCGTTCACCGCCTTAGAGAACCCTTCGTTGCACTCAATATGCATTTTCAGGATATCGTAAAAGTTCTCAAATCGCAGCGTAAAGCCGGTGCTTCCAAGAAGAATAAAAAACATTGAGAACGTGTCCGTTACACGCATAAATGCATTGGAATGACTCGGCTGAGGGGAGGGGAGGGGCACTCAAAGGACTGTGCAAAATTGGGTTTATCGTATGAGGGAAGGAGCACCTGGATGGGTGAGGTGAACCAATTTTTTTTGTACAACAACTGGGTTTCGCTTTGCGGACAGTTCCAGTTTAAGAGAAGGATTGCGGCGCAGTTCGGCTTGGCGGGGGCACTTTGCTGGTTTCCATCAACATTGCTGGTGACGCTTGTGGATACCCGTAGATTCTTGTAAAACTAGGCAACAGCAGGAGCATCATTTGAACTTGACAAGTGTTAGCAGGTCTCACCAAGCTGCGATCTGTTGTTCAACGGGACTTTGCAAAAGAATTACAGAGGTGCAATATGCCCCTCTCAAGCCGCACACTGCAGTATTACGTTACGAACTGTTCACAATCTGCACAACCCTGACGAATTGGCAACCCTGGGTCCGTAAAAAGGTTTTGGTACGTATTTATGGGGAGAATCAGTGAGCCGCGTAGTTGAATGCGCCGCGATCCCCAAAAGGGTTAGATACTTATTGATCGGAAGGATTAGCTGAGCGATCGTCAACGCGACCTCATCTTCCCTTTTGATATGCCGACTCTCTTATTCCGCACGTATCTAAATCCTTCCGCAGAAATGCCAGATTCACTCACAGTGAACAGTGTCTCACCCCCCCCCCTTGCCCTCTCCCAGCCGATCCTTTTATGTTTAGCTTTTTAGCATTATAGTGGTTGTAACATTGAAATTCCAATTTGTTTTCATCTTACGAGTATTGGTACCGAATTGTTAACGGTGCTAACATGTTTGTTAGGGTTTAGAAATATTGTTATAATTGTGTCGTTTTTTGTTATTTTTCCATATAAAGTTGTCTATAAAAATTTTAAAAGCATTTATTCTTTCTCGCCAGTAAGTCACAAAACAACAATAATAGAGCGTACAATGTTCTCTGAAACAATAACAACAAATGAAACGAAGCACTAACAACCTGTACAATTAATGGCTTTTTCTTGCTCTCTTTGGTGGACCAGCCCATTGTGATTGACCTCCTCTTTTCCGGACATCAATAAAATTCAACTTTGCGTTTGTACTTGATTCATTCAAACCCGTGGACGCATTATTCGCTTCCTATAAGTAATTTAGTAACAGTCAAGTTGCATCACTGTGGTTCTATGTAGTTTTCGGAAGTTCTCGCTGTAACAAATTATTGCTAGGGAGGCCGCTATTTTATGTGGAAAGGGACTCGGGAAGGTTTCGGTCCCCGTACCAATGCCTGGTATTGGTAGAGACCATGACTTCACTAGACCCCGGCGTAAGGGCGCATTCATAGCTTGCGAGCGTGAAGAAAGGCAGAAATGCGGAAACTGCGGAATCTGCAGAAATGACGAAAAGCAACAGATACGTATCGATTTTAAGAAATGCCGAAAGTGAAGAAGTGCGGAATCAGCAGAAATGCAGAAAGTGCGGAAAATCGATACGTATCGGTTGTTTTTCGTCATTTCTGCAGATTCCGCTCTTCCGCACTTTCCGAACTTTGCAGTTTCCGCATTTCTTCATTTCTGCATTTCTGCAGATTCCGCACTTCTGCAGTTTCGGCATTTCCTGCATTTCTTCAAATCGATACGTATGTAATGCTTTTCGTCATTTCCGCAGATTCCGCATTTCTGCATTTCTTCATGGTCGCAAGCTATGAACGCGGCCTAATCTGAGCTCTAGGGTTGAGCTTTGGCTTACAGCGCGTTCACACTTCGCGATCTAATCGCTTGCACCGCTCCAGCATTTGGATCGCGCGATCGGATCCATGTACTGTGTGGACGCGACCGAATTCGAGTTCCGCTGTTGCGGCGGTGGAGAACCCGCGGCACTATTCAACTACAGTGCGTAACAAAAGTATGTGGACACACCCCAAATTTTGATTTTGCGAAGTTGCATTTGGATTTTGCGATCTGAGACCATCACTGTTAGATTCCTCATAAGCGAAAGTATAGGAATGCACTACTTCTGAATACATTGTGAACTACTGTTCAATTATTTATTGTTTTGAAAAAATTTCTTAATAACAAAAGTATGTGGACACCTGAGAAAGTTCAAAGTTTGACTCCAAATCTGCAACCCATATCTATCGTCTCTGCTCCCCTCCGCCATTAATCTGTACTCATGCCTCGTCGTGGCAGTACTCTCGAAGACGAACAATCTCAGATTCGAGCTCTCAGTGCTGCTGGACACTCAAATAGAGAAATTGCAAGACAGCTCGGACGTTCGGCGACGTGCGTTGGTAAATACCTCCAGAATCCTGATGGCTACCATTCAGCACATATTTTCGGGCGTCCTCGATCTTTTTGTCCGCAAAAGACATCAGAAGAATAGCGCGGGTCGCCTCAGACCCTTGCTGTGAGACAGATCCATGCTGCACTCAATCTATTGGTCTCAAAAATGACGATATGGCGCTATGTTCGATCGAATGAGCATATCACACGAAAAAGAGACCATGAAGTGAGCTCCTCGCCTGACTACGCACACCAGCTGGCGAGAGTGAACTTCGCGCGTGCAAAACATGGCGACGTCGTGGGACAAGGTGAAGCTTTTTGAGAAATTTGTAAAATCAGAAAGGCAACATCCCATGCGCTTTTCATTCTTAGGTTATCTTCACCGATGAAAAAAAGTCCGATTCGATGGTCCAGACGGATATCGGCACTACTGGAGAGACCGTCGCGATCCATTGCTGTTCTCGAGGCGAAATTTCGGAGGCGGCTCTTTGATGGTGTGTGTGGGGGGGGGTGGGGTGGTTTTGGAACCAGCGGAAAGTTAGAGCTCGCCTTCCCATCGTGCCGTATGAACAGTCAGGAATATCAAGGAGTGCTCGAATCCTACCTCTTGCTTTTTCTGAGTGGGCCACGACCCAGGACACATGTGCTGCAGCAGGACAACGCCGCCGTGCATGTTTCAAATTCTACTATAAAATGGCTCCAACGCAATGGTATCAAAGTGATGGATTGGCCGGCATGTTCTCCTGACTGCAACCCAATCGAAAACCTGTGGGGAATTATGGTTCGACGAATTTACATGAACAATCGGCAGTACAACAGCGTGCGAGACCTCAAGGAGGCTGTAGTGGCTGCATGGGATTAAAGACACTATCACAAATGTTGTCCACAGCATGCCAGACAGAATGTTCGAAGTAATAGTGAACGCGGGAGGGAGCACCAAGTTTTAATTTCCATGATACTTTTGTTTTTTGTTAAGTGTCCACATACTTTTGTTATTAAGAAATTTTTTCAAAACAATAAATCATTGCTCAGTAGTTCACAATGTGCTCGTAGGTAGTGCATTCCTATACTTTCGCTTATGAGGAAATTGAACAGTAATGGTCTCAGATCGCAATATCTAAAAGCAGTTTCGCAAAATCAAAATTTGGGGTGTCCACATACTTTTATTACGCACTGTATTCAACTATTACTACCCCAATTTTCCAAAAGCAGGCCGGATTTTGATCGACTTTTTTCTTCGGGGGCAGATTCGGCTGAAAGTTGGGTTCTAGGAATAACTAGACCTCCTGAACGCGAATATCACATCCACTTGGCCTTAAACTGCTTGGCGCTCGTGCCAAAGGCGCCGGCCGGCAAAAGATCCACCTAGATCGCGAATACGCTGGAAAACTTTACCCCAGAAGGTGAGTTTGCCTATCGCTGAACAAGACGAATATCAACATCCGCTCGCCCGAAACTGCTTTGCCCGCGCCTATTACCCGTAGGTCAAGAAATCCGCTGAAAAGCTGTATACGGGAGGTTTACTGCAAGCATGCTAGCCTTTTACAAGTATCACATTCATTTTTGGCGCTGGCGCTGACGGAAGACACTACGATCATCTGTGCTGTGCTAAGGCTCAGCCTGGTCTAAAGGAAATCACTCCTTGCTCCCAGTTGCACAAGCCTTAGAAATTACGCTAATTTCAACGATGGAATGAATATAAATGTCATATTCGTGATCAAGGCATCAAACAACCCTATTATGCAGATTTTTAACGATTTTGACGAAAAATGGTGTGGGGCCAAATCAGCGCTTAATGGCGCCAGGGCTGGAAACTAATGCGGTATTTGTGATCAGGACATCAAGTAACCCTACTTTTTTGACTTCTGGGGGTAGTAATAGTTGAATAGTGCAGTGCCCTCCGGTCGTGGTCACTGGACCACGGAGCATGAAAGCGTTCTTAAACGGACAAAGAGACGCGAGTGAACGCCCTCCTCCAACCGCGTTGGCGCCAAGTACCTTCAAAGATGCTCCCGACGGAAATTAATAAGCAGTGTCAAGGATTGTATTCCGAGACAGAAAAAAAAACGCGCAGCGCAAAATCGTTCTTGTGTAGGTGATTGAGTTCAGAAAGAGTAACGCAGATAAGTGTCAAGTGAAGAAAAAAGCTAAAGAAACTATCAGAAACGTCCCAAATAAGATCCATGTTGGTTTCAGCAATGATTTTAATCATATAGCAATTATATAATGCGAAAAGGCAAGAGAGTAGGGCGACTACCGGGGTGGGACCCAACAACGGAGACACACTTCCGGCGATCTCAGTAAGCATTTTCGAGGTGCGGAAATGCTTCAGCTGTTGTAGACCGCTAAACCTCGAATAAGGAAAGGATTCTTCCCGTAGGACATTGCATTTTAGCACCTCTTGAAGCACAGCAGACCTCTTGAAAATTCTGTGTAAGTCTCGTTGCAAACTAGCACCTTATTAGCTGGCGACCTTTCGGGTCCCCTCAGTCAGTGCATGAAGTGCATAAGGGGAGGAGGGGATACCGCTGGTGGGGAACAATGAGCATAAAGAAAGGATGACTCGAGAGCGACCCCTAAAAGTGGTTATGGATCTTTGCGATCAATTTTTGAAGAAACATCTAAGACATATATAAGATAATTAATGCTACCATGGAGCCTCTAAAGATTTACCAACAGAGTGAAACTCCAAAATTTAATTCTACTTTCAGTGCACAAAGCGCCCCTTTATACAGGCCGCACCTTCCCCTTGAACGCCCCGAATGTTTCGCGCGGAATGAACACTTGTTTTCACCGAGTCCTTTTTCCTTTTTGTTTGTTTTATGTATAGCAGTCCATTTAGAAAAAATAGTTTAAAAGTCAACTGTAACGTCAGAATATACAGAAAGAGAAAAAGGCAAAACAGCCATGTGCTTGGAAAGGTTTCACAAAGCGTTGTCGCGTGCGGCTCTGCGACCTTGCAAATACAGTGTTGTTCGCTGCCGATGATGGGGCGTGAGAAAGAGGCTGGGTTCGACGCTCCGCCAGACCATACTCCACCAGCTGTTGAAGCCGGTAAGCAGCAACAGCTGTTAGAAAAGACTGACACGAACGATCTGATTTAGTGTTGCCGTGAGCTAAGAGAGAAAAAAAAAGAAAGGAAAGACCTCTCGTAATCATTCGCGGCGAAGCTGACTGCAAATGCACGTTATACCTTAGAACACAAAGAAATTCTCACAAGTTCCCAGATGGTTTTCATAACCATTCAACCTTCCAGTTTTTCGGAGAAGCTTTAGAATTTCACACCGTCGCTGAAGAAAAATCGAAAATAAAAACCGTAAAAGTACCTTTCGCATCCTATTTTGGTTGGCTTTTGCTCCACCACGCAGCCTTAAAACATTGAAGTGTATATGGGGAGAGAGCAGACGAAGCATATTTGAAGAAAAAGCAGATAAAAAGTAACTAACGTCGTGGCCATTTCAATATCGCCTATATCCTTTTCGTCGTCAGAGTCTGTATCGGAGAGATCTCCATTCATTTTCCGTTCATAGTACACCATTAGTTTCTTAAAAGAACAAAGTTATGGTCCAAAAGGATAAACACGGATGGAAATAAATAAACATAAAAACATGAGCCTATGTATATGGGCGGAAGAAGCAAGAAATTTTATAACTGATGCACCTTCGGAGACATTTTGCGACAGATGGGATGCTTTACCGATGCATTTCATACTGTTTAGTGGAGACTTTCAGGCTAAGAAGAATATTGAGCTTTCAAGCTGATTGAGTTTCTAATTTTAGGCCATCAAAATAGTGTCAGGTTGTAAAAAGTGGATATCTTCGACACTTTTTACGTTC